ACATTGATTACAAACACTAGTATAGTATAGTATATTATACTATATTACTATATAGTATTTATAATGCCTATACCTATAACTGAAACTGAACAAAATACATAGTAAAGTTACTTTTGAAACTGATTTAAATGTATAAAATATGTAATTTGTGATAGTGATCCTATTGATCCTTGTAATACCACAAATGGCACAAATATCGGTATTCATAGTTTCATACTGAATTTGTATGTATAGTGTATACTTCATGGTTATATAGCGTCGTTTGTCTTTCGTCATGTAAAAATTAATATGACCTGAACTACGCGTTGCTTAAGATTTTCACCACCAGGTTTATCTGTCGACTGTTACAATAATAAGATAAATGAAATCGRTCAAATAGCAAACGTAATTTTTTTTGATTGAACACCGCTGGTGACGGTCAATAAAATTGTATATTATCTTACCACGACTGTCGACCTCTGGAATCCTGTATTATGGTCCARCGCTATACGAAATTCTGGTACAATTTATGGTTTTCGTGTGAAATACCAAGACCGGTGTAGTACACCCATAGACAGACTAAAGAGAGAAATATGTGATAATACTATTATAGATAATGTACACTGATTTACTCGAAAATTAGTCGAAATGAGATTAATTTTACGGGATCGAAAACAAACGCTTATTATTAAGAACAACTAGATCATATTTTATTGTTTGAAAGTGTTTCCGATCATGCCATCTTCGTTGTGGAACGATAAACAATGGATCTGTCCGATTATTTCTTCGTACTTTTTACGCATTCCGATGTTTGACTATGACTTCGTTGAAGCTCCAGTGTTTTGGAAAACAGTCGATAGATGGCGCTCACGAGCATAGACTTTAGCTAACGCTTGAAGACGCACACAGTCCGTAAATTCGAACGCGTTGTGACTTAAGTTTTTCCAAGGGACCGTCACACCGGCGTCAAAAGCTTGCACCAGATGCGCACAGACGCCACTACGACGTGCCAACAGTGCCAACGGTGTTGTCTGTAAAGCAACGTGCTACACGGCGTCATAATCACGTCGATTGTATATAGTCAACCGAAATCCACTTCTGGGACAACTCCGGTTCCCCTTCAAATCGAAAAAATCTTTCGCCTTTTACTAAAGATTTCCGTGGAGGGGAGCATTCAAAGGAGTCTAGAAAAATAATTTTTT